AGCTGTTCAGCATCTGGAATTTTGACATGATCTTTGTTTTTTTGTTGTTGGTATATGAGGGCCTGAACTTTTCTGTGAGGCTGGGAGGCTCAGGATAATGGCAGGGGTTAATAGAAACTTAGATGGGGATACTAAGTTGTTTTGGTTTTTGGTTTTTTTTTTTGCTTTGAAAATTTTGGCTAAAATCAGCGAGATCATCAAGCTCTGAATTCCCAGACCTGTTTCCTTGTCTCAGTTCAGCTTTGGACGTGTGCCCACAAAGTGGGGTTGCTGTTGGTGAAAAAGGGGTGAGGATGCTGGGGATGGTGGTGAGGGAGATGATGGGAATGGTGAAAGAAAGCAACTTTGCCTTTTTCTACCTGTCAGTTTTGTCCTCTTCTCACATAAGTGTCTTCAGTCAGTAACAAACAGTAGTGACAGCACAAGTCAGACACCAACCAGAGTAGTGAGTTTGTTCTCCTGCCCTGCAAAGGTCACAGCCTCAGCTGAAAAGCCTGAGGGCCTCTTCTTGGTGAGGTTGGAAGGTACTTGTCAAGGTGACAAACCTCTCCTAATGTCTTCCCAGCATCGTGTGGACACGCGGGGCCAAATGTGCAAAAAGCACTTGGGCCCTGATCTGCAAAGCTCTTCAGGTGCCTCCATTCATCATAGAGACAGACCCGCAGTGGCTTGGCTCAGTTTTCTGTGGAAAGTGGGTCAGTGGGAATAAGTGGTTTAGCTTTGTGTCATCTGAGGAGAGGACTGGAGTCACGTGCAGTGCTGTCAGTTTGACACACTAAGGCTGACATCAGACTTGCACTGGGTGGTCTGGGACTCCCCTGCTGCTGCTGGGCTTGCTGTGGGGTCATTTTAGCACACTGATGGGTGGAGATGTTGAGCACTTGGAAACCTTTAGTGTCCTCTAGCTTGATCACAGGCAGGCAAGAAATTCATAGTAGTGACAATGTCTGCAATGGTGTAAAAATATTAATGTAGTAGATGGCAGATGTTTGTCTGGGTGTGTGCTGACTCCATCAATATGGGATCAAACCCTCCTAGCACTGCTCTTCAGAGGTAAGGAACAATTAGGTAGTTATTTGATAACCTTGATGAACAGTGAAGACTATTAATCCATCCATGAGATTTGTTCTGTCCTTCCCTTCTTCTGTGCACACACTTGCCAAGGCACAAGAAAGAGAAAATGTTGCTGTTGAAACTTGTGTGGTTTCTACCAACTGAACATGGTAGCTGCTCAGAGAAGTCACACTCAGCTGAAGGACAGCCCTTAAATTTGTTGTGCCTGTGCAAAACACAGACTATTGTGGGTTTAGGAAATTCAGGTGAAGTCCTGAGGATTAGTGGTGGGTGACTCTGTAGGCTCCATGCCCAGAGGGCTGGGGAAGAGGTGTGTGGTGAGAACCAGAAGTCTGAGTCTTGAGGTCAAAGGTATGAAATACAGGAGAGGGTGTCTGTTGCTCTTCTCCCCAGGAACAAGTGATAGAACAAGAGGAAGTGGCCTCAAGTTGTGCCAGGGCAGGTTTAGTTTGGATCTTGGAAACAATTTCTTCCTGGAAAGGGTTGTCATGGCCTGGCCCAGGCTGCCCAGGGCAGGGGTTGAGTCCCCATCCCTGGAGGGGTTTCCAAGCCCTGGAGATGGTGCTGAGGGAGATAGGGCAGTGGTGGCCTTGGCAGAGCTGGGGGAACAGTTGGTCTGGGTGATCTTCAAGGTCTTTTCCAGCCAAAATCATTCTGTGATTCTATGACGTGGCCCTGTCAATCTTACTTTTCAGTTTCCTTCAAGTGGAGTAAAACTCTGAACTGAGTTTGGAGCCAAGACCTTCCTGGGAATCTGGTGATTGTGAGAGGTAGAACAAGTGCTTTAGGATTGCAAGTGTACTTGGGACTGCTCCTGGTTTGTGTTTTATACCCTGAGTGTGGACATAGGATAATGATGGAGTTTTTGGGACATGGCTTAGTGGACATGGTGGTGTTGGGTTGATGGTTGGTCTTGATGGACTTAGAGGTCTTTTCCAAACTTTGTGTTTCTCTGATTCTGTGAGTTGGTACCAAAAGCTGAGGGCACTTAGAAGGGGACTGGGCAAATTCCTGAAAGATCCTTAGTCTGGTTCATAGGGAGCCTGAGCCACAGATTCTTGGACCCTGAAAGAAGATGCTTAGGGGGTTTCATTACAGACATCCCCTCTTCTGATGCTCTTCTGTATGTGACAGCTTGGTCAATATTGGTGACTGACTCCTGGATGCTGTGTTTGACTTCCTCATGTGTCCCTGCTTCTGTGCAATTCTCAGTGGAGGTGGGAAGGTCGAGTTCCCACTTGAGGTGGGGAAGTTGCTGGGGCCTGTGGCAGGTGTGGGGTGGAAATGCTGGATCCCAAGCAGAGCATGTTTGTAGAGAAGATAATGGAAAGGTTTGCTGCTTGTAGCCAGTAACATTTGATCTTCAATAACAACAAAAAATAATGTGATTTGCCATTTCCTGAGAATAAAGGTTATGTTTGGTGTCAGGCTTTCTGGTGTGAGCAGTGTAAATAGTCCTGAGGGCTGTACTGAAGGACTGTTTGAACTGTATCAACCAGGGTTGCACTCTTTCAAGTCTGATTGTTTTGATCTGTTCCCTGTGTGTTTTTTGCAGCTTTTCCGACGCGTGGCAGCTGCCCTGCCTGGAATGGAAAGCACACAAGACAAAAGTAGAGAAGACAGTATCCTTTATGGCCCTGGGCTGGGGGTCAGTGGGGGCAAAGCACTGCCAGGTGTTCCTGTGGACAAGGAAAACACAGGCCCTGAATAACAAGGATGAAGAAGGAGGGAGCAATATCAATCCTCACCCCTTGTTCAGCTTCTGGACATCCCAAAAGGAGGCCTGAGAGAGGGAATGGGGGCGAGTAACCTTGGAGCTGTTTGTTCTAAGGAAGAAGGCTTGGTGGATTAGGAGGATGGGACAAGGAGTGTTAATGGTGGAGGGCTCTGCTGTAAAGCAGGGGAGGTAGGGATGCTTAGGGCAATCAGGTGGTGTAAAAGTGAGGACAACTGAGTGAAAGCTGAAGGGAGGACAACGGGAAGGTGCTGAGAGTGGGGTCAAACATATCCAGGAGGTTTCTTTGCTTGGGGTTAGAGCAGGTTGGATGTGGAGAGGGAGGAGGAGACTATGGAGCTGGAGAAGACAGCTGCAAAGAGGCCTAAAACCCCCCCCTCTGTGGCTCTTGGAGATCTGACTTGTAGAACCCTAGAATGAGCTAAGTTGGAAGGGACCTCTGTAGGTCCCTTCTCCAACCCTCCTGCTCAAAGCAGGGCTAACTCCAAACTCAGGCAAATTCTCAGGGTCATATTCAGGGCAACTTCTGAAATCTCCAAGGAAGGAGATCCCAGAACTCCCAGGACAGCCTGGTGCAGAGCTTGACCCCAGGCAGCTCTGGGCAGGCATCTGCATGGTGTGAGGGAGGAGAAGACCCCAGTGAAGGGATCAGCCTTGGAGAAGGAAGTTGGTGTGAGGGATGGAGAAGGTATAAAACTTTCTTCATAACAAGCAGTATGGCTGAATCTGAGGTGCTTTTCTGGCCAGCTGGGTGTGTTTGGGGAGGACAATGAAGCCCATTAAGGTGCTTTTGTTGGGTGTCTGTGACAAAACTGTAGGAGTGGTTATGGTTGCTCAGCATAGCTCTGATCATGGAAGAAGTTCTGTGATAACTGAGCTGCTTCTTAACAATCTCTGCTCCACCAGAATACCCATTTCTGCTCTCTTGGATCAGAGAGGAAAGGTAGTGGAGAAGGTGGAGAGGGAGCTGCCTGCCTCCACAGCAGAAGTGCTGGATGGGAGGTGAGAATGGACAGAGAGCAGGGGAAATCCTGGCAGGTACTTCCAGATGGGAGCAAAGAGGGGTTGCATTGCATCTGGATTGAAAGATTAGATGAGATGTTGGAAGTGGGTGAGCTTTTCTGAGAAGAGGAACTTGTTCAGGGTTGTCTGGTTTATTTGCAGCAAGGATCATGTAGCTGGCAGCTGGGAAATGCAGGAGAAATTGTGCTTTGGAGGAAGGATGTGGCAGAAGTTGTAGGAGGGGGACTGAAACTACACCTGAGACCCCACCTAAAGCACTGTGTCCAGTTCTGGAGCCCCCAGCACAAGGAGGACATGGAGCTGTTGGAGAGAGGAGGCCCTGGAGATGCTGGGAGGGCTGGAGCAGCTCTGCTCTGGAGCCAGGCTGGGAGAGTTGGGGTGTTCAGCCTGGAGAAGAGAAGGCTCCAGGGAGACCTGAGAGCAGCTTCCAGTCCCTGAAGGGGCTCCAGGAAAGCTGGGGAGGGGCTTGGGACAAGGCCAGGGAGGGATGGGATGAAGAGAAAGGGTTTTAAAATAAGAGGGGAGATCTAGACCAGATATTAGGAAGAAATGTGAGACACTGGTCGTGAGACCCTGGTCTAGGTTGCCCAGAGAAGCTGTGGCTGCCCCATCCCTGGCAGTGTTGAAGGGCAGGTTGGATGGGGCTTGGAGCAGCCTGGGCTGGTGGGAGGTGTCCCTGCCCATGCAGGGGCATTTGAACTAGATGATCATTAAGGTCCCTTCCAACCCAAGCTCTTCTAGGAGTCTGTGATCTCCTGTAGAGCATCTTACTGCATAAGGGAAGGTAGGATTTGGGAAGCTGTGGATTGCAGCTGCTCAGGGACAAGCTTTGTGTGACAAGGACTCGATTGGTCAAAAATACTTATACAGGTCACTCAAAGGTTAATGAGCAGCCATCTTTATTAATGAGAGGATGGTGGCAGAACACACAGGCACTAGCTGCTGGGCCTTTGGTTTCTCTATCAGGGAGTTGGATCACGGGTCTGTAAATGGGAGGGCAATCAGGGCACTTGGAATTTGCCTCCCTGCAGGCTGCAGATAGCAGAAATTGAATGTGATTGACTCCCAGATGGCCGTGCCAGGATTAACCAGGGGGGATTTTCCAGAGGCTTTTTTGCAGAATATGGAGAGTTCAAGGTCCTGAACTGCTTGTGCTCATTGATGAAGCTGGCAAGACTCGATTTGCAAATCTCAGATTCATTATTGAGGTTTAGATCAACAAAACAAATGGACCAAATATTTGAGGTGATTTATTGGTCTTCTCTTTCCCTTTTTTTTTGCTAACCTCTGTAAAAATCAATTTCAACCCCCTAAAGAAAGGAGCTGGAAGTACCAGCTGTGTGACCTCTTTGCTTCTGTGTTAACTGTTAAGAGAAATACTGGAGGCTTGTGCTGAACAAGTGGGATTTGGGGATTAGTGTTCAAAGCTCCTCCTGTGAAGGGCTGCTGAAGTGTTGTAAGTGTAGGGCATCCGTTGGGAATTCAAGTGCCAGAAAGGAGGGAGCAGCGTATCAGGTTGGTTCAGAGCAGCCAAGTGTCCAGCAACCTTAGGTTCTTGTTGGATATTGGCTGTTGTTGCTAGGCATGAATTCAGGAACCCCTTCTCCAAACCCACCACTGACTCATGTCCTTCAGCACCACTGCCCTGGGCAGCCTAGGCCAGGGTAGTGGTGGAGTCTCCATCTCTGCAGGGGTTTCAAAGCCGTGTGGATGTGGTACTGAGGAACATGGGTCAGTGGTGGTCTTGGCAGTGCTGAGTTAATGGTTGGACTGGATGATCTTCCGAGTCTTTTCCAACCAAAACTATTCCATCATTTATTTGAAAGTGTGGATCTGTCTGGAGATGTTGATTAGACCCTTCACTGTATAGATCTTTAATCACTTTGGAACAAGAGGAGATCACTGGGGAGGAGCAGACTCTGGTTAAAGCCAAACATTTGGGTTATGGCTTGGTTTCTATATGTCCTTAAGGAGGTGCCAGGGCAAGAGAGGCTGCTGAGAAACTTGGATCTTTTAGCAGAGCCTGTAGAGACAGGACAAGGGGTGATGGTTTTAAACCAAAGGAGGAGAGATGTAGACAAGACACAAAACAGAAATTGTTTACCATGAGGATGCTGAAACACTGGCCCTGGTTGCCCAGAGGTGGGAGATGCCCCATTCCCGGAGACATTCCGGGCCAGGTTGGATGGAGCTCTGAGCAACCTTGGGTTTAGTTGAAGATGTCTCTGCTCACTGCAGGGGGCTGGGACTAGATGAGCTTTACTGGTCCCTTCCAACCCAAACCATTCCATGTTTCTCTGATCTGTGTTGTGGTTTGAAGCCAGTCTTTTCAAGAGCTTTTGAAAATACTTTTCAAGAATTTCCTTGGGAAATACTGAGCTGAAAACTCCAGTCAAGATCCTGCTCCTCCTCTTGCTTGGTAGGGGGAGAATCACAGAGTCATAGAGAATTCCAGGTTGGAAGGGACCTCAAGGATAGATGGTCTAACCTTTTTAGTTCATACTGTAGTTCATCTGAGGACAGTCTGAGACTCGAGAGACTGAGTTGGATCCCTTTTTGCCTTAACTCCTTCCTTCCAGTGATTGACATAAAACTGGAAAAGCCTCAAGAGCAGCCTGTCAGTGAAGGAGGCTGTTCCTGCTAATACCATGTGGCTTCTACCTTTCTCCAGAACATCACTGCTTCCCCTCCCTTTACTCTTCATTGACTGCAGTGTGAATATTGGCTTGAACCTTCCCCTTCCAGTAATAACGTATCGCAGTTCATCATCGCTGGCTGTCTCGTGGAGATGATCTATTAGCTTCACAAGCACACACACACACAAAGAAAATGTCAGTGTCTTCATTATTTATAAGAAAAAAAAAAAAGCCAAAATATTCCAGCATATTCTAGTTATAACTTAAAAAAAAAAAAAGAAAAAAATAGGTACAATTTCTTAATATTCGTTCCTTTTTTTAATATGTTATGATGTTGCACTTTGAAACGATGGGAACTGAGTAAGTTTTGGATGGGATTTAGAGGAGATGTATGTGCAGAAGAATGCTTGCAAATCTCACCCATTTGATTTCTCTAACCAACTGGAAGTGACCAGGCAGCAGTCAAAAATGCAAGCAGAGGTGGCCTGTGCTGAGGGGTAAATTCTTATCCTTAGCCATCATCATAATAATAATAATAAAACCCCAAACAAATTAAAACCAAGCTCTTAATCTTTTTGAGCAGAGATAGTCTGACTGGTTTTCAAACCCCAGGCAGGGCTTTCAACACCATGAAAGGCTCCTGGATTTTTTTTTGATAGTCCTTGCGGAGGCACCGTGGACACATTTCCGAGAAGGAATATGGAGACACACACAAAGTGTCCTTCTGAACAGGCTGAATGGCTTCTGGAGGATGTTTCTGGGGGAAGGAAAGGGTTGGATGTGCATTAGCAAAACACTTGCAGGGAACAGGGAAAGAATGTTTCGAGTGCAAGATGAGTTTTAAGAGCATTTCTTTATTGTTATTTTTTTTTCCCCCTTTTATGTAGAACACCAATGAAGTAAATGATTCCCGCCCGAGAGATGGGAATGTGGCATTTGGAGGAGAAAGCATTTTGCTTCCTTATTTTTTTTGTTTGTTTTTAAGGGGAAATATTAAGTGGATTCAGGACTGGCGCTAAAAGCTGCCAAAGTGGATTGAAACCTTGCAAATTTGTCAGGAAGAGGAGGGAGCAGCTGGATTTCCCAGGCTGAGCTCACAGGGAGAGAGGGAATTGTACCTGCTTTTCCCTAGCGTGGTCGTAGGTCGACTGGGGAAGGGGTATTTGCTTTGATCATACAGAAATCTAGTTGAGAGATTTTAGAGGGAAAGGAAGGGAGTTTAATAGGATGGAAACCAACTGATGATTATGCAGATTTATGCCTTTATTTTTTAGCAATTTTTTAATTTTCTGTTCAGTCTTCCAAGTTGGTTTAGTTTGGTTCACTAGAGCTGTATAGTTTGGTTAAACAACAAGTAATTTAGTTTTCTATTTAACTAGGCTCACAATTAACCTTTTTTTTTTTTTTTTGGTCTTTGATATTTATTTCATGGCTTAATTTTTTATTATTACTATGTTCAGTAATTTTTGGGGGTTTTGTTTTTGCTGAGGAATCTGTTTAGAGCTTTGCTGATGTTGCCAGATGTAGCTACCCAAGAAACACGGAATCGAACACACTAGAAGTGCACCCTTTTAATCTTTACTAGTCATTGTGAAGTTGCTGTGTAAGTTAATAAACCACAATTGTAAATACATTGTTTGCTGGGCAAAAATGGCTGAGTTACAGTGCAGGAAGGAATTTTTGAGTCTGTGTTGCAATTGCTACTTAAAGAAACAATTGCAAGCAAATATTCAGGCTCCTCCTTTGTTCTCTTTCTGCCCCTTCTACCATCTAAAATTAACCAACTGGGGAAGAGAGAGGGAATTGTTCCTTACCACCACTTTCACCAGGAAAAATGGGCATCAAAGAGTTGGAATTCTTCATTCCTGGAATGAATGCTAGACTCGTGCCCAGCCCTGGGTTTATAGCAGCTCTGCACAACGATAGCTGAAAAGGCAGAACGAGATGTAAAGTGCTTTTATAATGCAATATTAAAGGCAAGTTTTTTTGACGTGGCATGTCTTGAAATAAACATCAATGATATGTGACAAAGGATCATTCTTTATTTAAAAGAAACTCTTGGGGGGAAGGAAACCTGGCTGCTTTTCCTGTATTGTGCTGTTCTTAACTGTGCAAAAATGGTTCATCTTGCTGCTGGTTTGGTTTGTTGGGTTTTTCTTTTTTTCCTCTTCATGCAACTTATGTTGGTCATCATTTGGCTGTTTTCCACAAGCACATACTTTTTTGGCTTCTGGTATAACCAAACCCCTACGTTTCCTGTAGTTACAAGCTTTAAGCACTGGATTTGCAAGGAGCTGGCTTAGCACATTCTGGTTCCAGAGGATGAGCTGCTTTTAATGGAAGCTCCTTGTGGAGAAGCAGCTGCATGTCTGGGAGGAGGTTTGGTCAATGAGCCCCTTATAACTTGCTCTAAAAAATAAAAGGATGAGAAAGGAGCATGTCCATGAGCTCTGTGTGCAACACAGCCCAGTGGTTGCAGGAACAAGGATGAGTTGTCTGGCATTTTATCCTCCAGGAGAGCCCTGAGGTCTCCTCAGGACAGCCAGGTCTGTTTAGTGTATGTCCTTGCTGATGGTGCTTAACACAACTCCAGGACTCAATCCTGGCCTAGTCTCAGTTTTTCAGAGAAGAGACCCTTCCAAAGTAAGCATAGGACCAACACAGACCTTCATCTATTCGTTTTGCACCATCCATCTGTTGGGGTTTAGCTTCTGATTTTCTTTTGCTCCATCCACATGGCCAGTAGAACCACCCAAACCTTTTTTTTAATGACAGTTTTGTAAACAGTGAAGGTTTCTGCTCTGTTTCTTTTCTCCTCCCCACTCTGGCTTGATTGTTGTACAGTACATTATGCAGCTAATTCCATTTAACTCACTTTTTGTCTTGATACAAGTAGTTGAAGAAATTGTATTAAGGGGGGAAAAAAAAGGTTCCTTTTCTTCGTGTTGGAATGTCACTGGTACCTCAGCTCTGTTTGATAATATGGAACAACAACAACAACAAAAGAAATCCTAGCGCTTGAACTAAATAAATACCTGTCTCATTGGAAAGCTCTGGCTCTCTTCTATGTCCTTCAGAATGCAGGTTCGTGGGTGTGCAGGGCTGCTGCTCTGGGGGTTTGAGGTGCTGCAGGAGCCTTTTTTTTTATTTTTTTTTTAAGGGGAAGATGAAGGGTTTGGGTTGGTTTATATTGGAGGAAGGTGGTGGAATTGTGTGCTTACTGTCCCTCTGGTTCTGTACCATGTCTCTGCACTTGTTTCCAGCCATCGACAAGTGAAATGGAGGACGGGTCCTCCTCTATCTGCTGCCACTGTGCTTCTCTGCTCCTTTCTTGCTCTTGAAATCCAGCAGCTTCCTCCCTTCCCTTTCACAAAGGTGACTCGGTGAGCACGGGTGGACCAAGCCCACCTTCCTTGAGGAGGATCCTCTGTAAGGCTCCATCTTGCTGGTGATGGCTGCGGGGACGGGGAGGTGAGTACCAGTAACAGATTCTCTTTGATGGAGTTATCCTTGTCTACTATTCCAGGGAAATTACCTGGTTTGGTCTGGCAACACCAGCAGCCTTGTTCAAGCTCCTCTCTGTTAAAAGGACCTTAAACTATTCCAGGGAAATTACCTGGTTTGGTCTGGTAACACCAGCAGCCTCTTGTCACTTGTTCAAGCTCCTCTCTGCTAAAAGGACCTTCAATAAGTTGGTACTTTAATTTGACAAGGAAGAAACTTGATCTTGTAGCTGTGGAGATGTTGCTGGAATTGGTGATATGAGAACAGCCAAATGGTGAGGCTGTGTGGGGACAGGTCCCTGGAAGAAGCATTTGTTACTGGGAGGAGCATCTGTTCCTTGGCACCTCTAGGTTGTCCCCTGGGTGGCAGCACAGCTGGGGAGCTGCTTGAGGGAATGGGAGGGCACACCCAAAGAGGACACAGTCACCTCTGAAAAGTTGGGGTTTGGGTGAATCGTAGTAGGAGCTGAACCCAGGAAGCTCGATGAGTTGTTGTCTCCAGGGAGCACTGAGATGTCCTGCTCTGGGTTCCTCCTCACTGCTCCCTGTTGCTGATGAATTCCCTTAATGCTGCTGTTGCAGGTAGCCTGAGGGCTGTCACCTCAAATCCTGGTAGCTCAGTTTCCCACCTGTAAAAAGGGGCTGGATTAAACTGGAGAGCAGGGGCTGCTCCTGGGCAAGGCATGGTCAGGGGGCATCCATTGGCCCTGGTGTGGGATGCTGGTCCCACAGCTGCAGTGGGTCAGACTGTGCTCCCAACCTTGCTGGTTGTTATTACCTAGGAAGTCAGAGAGGGAGTGTCTGCCTTGGATTGAAGAGTGCCTCATGCTGGTGTTTGCTGATGGTTTCTTTGTCTGCTCCACTGGAAGGGTCAACTTATTTTTCCAGGCTGGAGGAGCTGCAGCAGCATCCATCCTCCTGACAGCGTCTGCAGAGCTGCTGCAGCAGCCAACACTGACCCCTCGCTGCACAGCCTGGCTTCTGCTGCCACCACCTACATCCTCATCAAACTAGACCCTGAGAGGGCTCTGCCTGATGCAGCAGCACCTTTTTCCATGCTGGGCATGTCCCAGCCCTGAAAGCCAGATCAGTGGGGGACGGGCAGGCTGCCTCTTGCTGTCGTGGCTGCGGCAGAGGCTGCCAAGGCTCCAGCAGGCAGGAAAGCAGCTGCAAACACCCAGACCTCAGAGCAGCCTCTGCTGCCTGCACTGCTGGGCTGGCTGCTCGGCCCCCTCCTCTGCTGCTCTGCCATTCCCTGAGCTGGGGTTTCCAGGCTTTGCTGCCCTTGGTTTCTCATCAATTTGTGAAAGGACCCTTTGTTCCCCCTCCCCACCCCTCTCTTTAACCACCTTTTTCTTCCCCACCCTGGTCTGAACGTGCATCCAAGTCAAACCCTGCATTTTATGAGGAATTTGGGATCCTTTTGTAGCAGCTGAACATCATCAGCTGCCCAGGCTGATGCTGTAGGCGTGTCAGGAGTTAAATGCTGGCTGAATTGCAATGACAGGAGCAGCTCTGCCCGTTCCAGGGAGGATGAGAAGCAGGGCAGGGCTGAAGGCAGCTGGGTTGCTTCCTGGGTTCGGAAGGAGGAGGCTCTTGGTGAGTGTTGTTCCTGAGTCAAATCTTCCAGGCTTGCCACCTGTTCGTGAGCTTTTTTGGATATAAATTAAAGCCATTTTGAGTGTTTGCTGTTGGCCACCTGGAGAGCGCGTCTGGAAGGATTGTATTAAAGGCTTGATTAAAGTTGCTGCTAATTAAAGCACTGAA